TTTGCAAATATTAACTGCTATGTATAAAATAGATAAACAATAAGTTCATACTGTATAGCACAGGGAACTATATTCAATATCTTGTAGTAATCTACAATGAAAAAGAATATGAAAAGAAACATGTGTGTGTGTATGTATGGCTGAAACGTTATACTGTACACCAGAAACTGACACAACACTGTAAACTGACTAGACTTCAATTTAAAAACAGTACAAGCTGCCGCCCGTCCCAGGCCTGGAGGTGGAGACGGCGCCTCCCAGCTGACATTCTCCACCTAATGCAGGGAAACGTGTCAGCAGCTGGGAAGTGACGGGCAGGTCGGCCAGCTCGCCCTCCCTGCCAAGGCCCGGTGTCCCTTTGCGGAAGACGTTCAGCCAAGGTACGCTCTGCAGGCAGCCGTGGGGGTTGTTCCGGGGGTGGGGGAACCGCTCCGATTTAGAAACAGATAAATAAAGCCCTGGGTGAGAACGAAGACATATCCATTAACAGGCAGCAGCCACTTGTCTGCTCGTGCTCCAAGCTCTCCTCGAGCAAGCTCAGCACGTCTAAATGCTGACAATTCCCAAATTTGTATCTCCAGACCCAATTTCTCTCCTGAGACCTTGTTTTCCAATTGTCTTATTTCCAATTACCCCATTATTCCTCAACTTCCCTATCTGATCAGTCATTAAATCCTGCCCATTCTATTTCTCTTAGCCCATAATGCTCCCCTATAGCGACGGCCTTAAACCTCAGCTACCCTCACCAATTCTTATCCAGACAGTTGAAACTGTCCCCAGAAGTCCTCATGGCCTCCAGCCTCCCTTTCCTCTAATTCATCCTTCACTCCACTGAAGTCAGCCTATTAAACATCCACATAGTCTCCACTTAGAAACACTGGTTTTCCCAATTAATAACAGACAAATTCTAAACTCTTCAGTATGATTCTCAAAGATCTTCACCAACTTTCCTGTCCAAACACACCTTTTGCCACTTCCAACCCCACCCTGCCCCACCAGGGCTCTGCGTTACCGTAGCTCATACCAGACAAAACCTCCTAAACTTTCTGTCTAAGGAAATAGCATCCCGGGCCCCCCAAAAAGAAAAGAAATGGCATTCCCCTGTGTCGTACCTACTACTTCACCTCTACCCCATAACTCTCATTTGTTCTTCAAGACCCAACTCAAATGTCACCTCCTCTGGGCAGCTCTCCCCAGTCCCTCCAGTGAGAGCCATACCACCCTCTCTGGTCCCTTGACGTTCTCTGCAAATTTCGATCCTAAAAGAGCACGCCGCACTGCAAGGATCTGTTCAGATGCTGGTTCCTCCTGAGACAAGGCTGGAAGGACCCTGAGGGTAGGAGCCATATCTTTATCTCCAAACCAAGTACAGGGCTGCACAGAGCACACACTCAGTAAGTGTTGTTGAATCCATCAGCCAGTCTTAAGAGGAGTTAGGGTAATGCAGCAAAAGAGATCTGGACGGTCAGGATACTGGAGCCTAGCTCCAGCTGCCCCAGGGTCGCGCATTGTGGGGGCTTATTAACCTCTCTGGGCTTCAGTTTCTCATCTGCTGCACACGGTGGTGGGACTATATGACTTCTGTGGTCCCTTTAAGTCCTCTGTTTTAGGGTTCAGACTACTTTTTCTTTGAAATCTACAATGAAAAACGACTATAAAACTCTATGGTAATAACACGTTCCAGGAGTTTGGATACTCTCCGCGACGCCAGCCAGGAAAATCACTGCTTTGCCAGACCATTAGGCCGAGCTCCCAAGGACGGCCAACAACAGAGGCCCCTTCCCTAAATTCACAAATCCCCAGTTGCCTTCTGTTACCTTTGGAGAAAATCCCCAATTGCCCTTTGTTCTGTTTCACTCTATGTATTTTGGCCAAAAGATGGCTTATTAAATATTACACTCAAGAAAAAAACCAATGGCAAAAACCTAACATGCCTTGAAAATAATGAGTGCTAAAAGCATGCGTTACATCACTAGGCTTACTGTGGAAAACAGAAGAGAAGTTCCTCAAAAAAACTAAAAATAGAACTACCATATGACCCAGCAATTCCAATCCTAGGTATATATCTGAAAAAAACAAGCACACTAATTCGAAAAGATACACACCCCAATGTTCACAGCAGTGTTATTTACAATTGCCAAGATATGGAAGCAACCTAAGTGTCCACCAACAGATAAATGGATAAAGAAGATGTCGTCTATAAATAATAGAATATTACTCAGCCACTAAAAAGAATGAAATTTTGCCATCTGCAGCAACATGGGTGGACTTGGAGGACATTATGCTAAGTGAGATCAATCAGACAGAGAAAGACAGATACTGTATGATAACACTTATATGTGGAATCTATAAAATACAATAAACCGGTGAATATAACAAAAAAGAAGCAGACTTAGAGGCAGGACAAATTAGTGGTTACAGTTGGGAAAGGGAAGTGGGTAGGGGCAAGATGGTAGTGGATTAAAAGATACAAACTATTAGGTATAAAATAAGCTATAAGGATATATTGTACAACATGGGGAATATAATCAGTATTTTATAATAACTATAAATGGACTATAACCTTTAAAAATTATGAATCACTATATTGTACACCTGTAACATATTATAATATACATCAACTATACTTCAATAAAAAAAATTTTAAATTGCTTTAAAAAACTCTCTAGGCTTGATAATCACCTCGTTACCCCATACTCTGGGGGTGGCTGGTACCTCAGGACGGCCACTTCTGTCCTCGCAGGCTGCGGGGCAGGGTAAGGCTTGGCCATATCATGCAGCATCCCAGGGTGCTGGTCACTGTAGAAAAGTCCATGCTCCTGGGTCTTGCTGACGGGGGACACCATCTGCTTGGTCTTGAAGGGGTACTCGGGTGGAGGACCTCGGGGGTCCAGCACTTTAGCTGCAGGCTGGGCTGGGGAGGGCCCCCCTCCCGCCTTGAACCCCTTTCCGTTCCCTGAGCCAGGGAGGTGTTGCTTGGCACCGTTCCTCTCCAACGACAGCTGCATGATCCTCTCGCTGAGAGAGCGGACGTGGCCCTGCTTCAGTTCCTTCAGCGCCTCGTCTTTGTGCGCCTGTCCGCTGTTGGCACGGTTCACCGTGGGCCTGCCCTCCGTCCGGGCCTTCTGACTGGGGCCCCCGGCCATGTAATAACCGTGACCCACCACCCCCTGCTGCTGCGGCTGCGGCTGTGGCTGCTGCCCCCGGAAGAACTGGGACTGGGCTTTGGCCTCCTCGTACGTGGGCAGCTCCTCGTTGTTCTGCTGGGGCTGCGTGGACCGGACTTGTTTCTCCATCACCGTATTGTCCACCTGGTGTTCCTGACCCTGCGGCTCCTGGCGTGCCGACTGGTAGACCATTTGTGGGTCTTCTTGAGTGAGGTTTTCCGTGGAAGAAAAGCTGTTGGCAGGGTGGGCTGTTCCTGCACTCCCTGTGGCCTGGTGCTGAATGGCCAGCAAGTTCATGTTCTCGGTCGGGGTGCCATACCGCAGTTGCTCCTGGATCAGCCGCTGTAACACTGTTCCAGCTGCCGCATCCTCGGAACCTCTCATTTCCACCTCTGAGATCCTCGGGAAGTTCGGGGAGTGGAAGTTACAAAGAGGATCCTCAACTAGAAGATAAACACGGGAAAAAGAGATCAGGCTGTTCCACGGGAACATAGGTTTGGATGAACGAGGTGAACAAGGAACTTTCTAATGACAGTGGCATTTAAAGATTTCAAACACCCCATCGCCCTCATTTACCCTGTGGTTTCTCTGGGAAGCTTTCCTCCAATTCAAAGGGACGCCCCTGTGCTCCCTTCCCTCGCCTCCTGCTGCCTCCTTGACCTTGCTCAGGCCTTTGGGCTTCCTTTCTCTTCAAGCTCCCAGCTGGCCCCTTCTCTTCAGCATATAAACAGGCCAAGTCTTTCCCATCTTAAAAAAATTACAAGCAAAAACCAAAACCAAACAAAAAGAAACCACCTTTTCACGGCCCTACGTAAACCTCTAACTGCCACCCCGTCTCTCTCCTTCCCTCCTCCTCTTCTTATTTATTCTTTTTTTTTCTTTTTAGTGTTTTTTTGGAGCTGGGGTGGGGGAGGCAATTAGGTTTATTTATTTGATTATTTTTTTTAATTGGAGGTACTGGGGATTGAACCCAGGACCTTGTGCATGCTAAGCACCCATTCTACCACTTGAGCTATACGCTCCCCCTGCTTCCCCCTATTCCTGTTTATTCTCAGAAAGCAATCTACACTTGCCATCTCCCCTTTCCAAACGCTCCATCCACTGCCCTCCCCACCACTCTGATTAGTAATCAAGCTCAGGGAGAACTTGCCAGCTTAACTTTTCTGAAGCATTTCGCATGTTGATCACCTACTCTTTTTTTTTTTTAACTGAAGTATAGTTGATTTACAATGTCATGGTAGTTTCTGGTGTACAGCATCATGATTCAGTTATATGTGTATGTGTATATATATTCTTTTTCATTATAGGTTATTACAAGACATTGAATGTAGTACCTTGTGCTATCCAGTAGGCCCTTGTTTATCCAGTTTATATATAATAGTTTGTATCTGCTCATCCCAAACTCCTAATTTATCCCTCCTTCCTCCTTTCCCCTTTGGTAACTGTAAGTTTCTTTTCTATGTCTGAGTCTCTGTTTTGTAAATAAGTTCATTTGTATATTTTTTTTTTAGATTCCACATATAAGTGGTATCATATGATATTTGTCTTTGTCTGACATTTCACTCAGTATGATAATCTCTAGGTCCATCCATGTTGCTGCAAATGGCATTGTTGCATTCTTTTTTATGACTGAGTAGAATTCCATTTTATATATATATACACAACTTCTTTATCCAGTCATCTGTCCATGGGCATTTGGGTTGTTTCCATGTCTTGGCTACTGTAAATAGTGCTGCTATGAACACTGGGGTGCGCGTATCTTTTCAAATTAGAGGTTCCTCAGGATATGTGCCCAGAAGTGGGACTAATCACCTATTTCTTGAAATGCTCTCCTCGCTTGGCATCCAGGCTGCCCCCTCTCCTGGTTCTGGATCCTGCTTCTTCTCTGTACACTCCATTTCTGGCTCCCATTTCTCCACCTGCCTCTTAAATGCTAGTGTTTCCCACAGCTCGGCCCTGAGTTCTCTTCCACCCTCACTCGACAGAACCTCATCACATCCACTGTCCATCTGCAAGTACTGACTCGTGGCCCACACGTCTATAACCACCAGCCGATGGTCCGTGGGTCCTCCAGACTCAGCATGTCTTCCTCCCCCCAAGAGACTCACCCACCCACCCAGCCCCTGTATCCTTACCTTGTCTACTCTTTGCCAAGCCTGGGAGTTTTTCCAAATTCCTTCCTCTCCGTTATCCCCAACATCCAGACACTGTCTGCCTGTCAATTCCACCCCGAGAATGAAACATCACTCCTACTCTCCTCTTTCTTCCCATGCCAGTCTCCGAGCTCGTTATTAATAACCACAACACAACCACAAGAACCATCTTTAAAGTGCGTGTAATATCCCAGGTACTGTATTAAATTCTCTCATTTGTTTAGTTTATTCCACATATCATCGCATGAGGCAGGCATTAATTCCCTCACCTTACAGATAAAGCAGAGGTTTGGAGAAGGCAAATCAGCGAGGTCACAGAGGCACGAAAAGGCAGATCCAGGATCCAACTCATTCCACAACGAAATCACATTACAAGCCCTTGAAGCCTCATACCCAAACCATTCCAACAGCCTCCTCGATTTCTCTGACACTAGCCTCCTTCCCACTCCAAACCCACCCCTCAGACCCCAGCCTGTCTTCCACACTACCCTGAAAGATTGTTCAAAACGAAAAACTTAATCATATCACTCCCCTGCACAAAATTCCTCAACAATTTATCACAGGATGAGACTGACAGTCCACCCTAGGGCATAGCAGGGACTGCTTATCTATCCAGCAATATCTCATGACATCCCTGCCCCTCTCACTGCAACCCCTCAGAGTTCAAGTTCAAGTTCCAGCAATACCTAAGGACATACAGTTTCCAGACATGCCGGCTCTCTCTTGATTCCAGGACTTTGCTCCCATCCGTGCCTCTGCCTAGAAAGATGCCTCTCACCACATCTTCTTGGGAAATTCCTAGACCTGCTCTGAATGATGGCTCCAAGGCAACCTTCTCAGTGAAACCCTTCCTGCTGCAGGCCAGCAGGCTTGAGCCCTCCTTCTCCAGTGTCCACGCTCCGCTGTTCTGTCTCCGCTAGAGCGATGATCACAGTAGAAGGCAATTATTTATGTAGGCAAGACTCTAAATTCCTTAAAGGCAAAGATCATGCCTCCTCACCGGGGTCTCCCTAGCACACGACCCAGTGCCTGCATGTACGGAGGGTCAAACATTTAACCAGTAAAAGAAGATTTGAGTGCTATGAGCCGTAAAACTGACCCCGTTTCACAATAGTACGAGGAAGTATTATGTTGAGAATATTTATAGCATTAGGATAATAAAAATTCTGCCACTTACTACTGGCAAGCCCTTGAGCGAATCACCTGTTCTCTTTGAGCTCAATACCCTCACCTGTAAATTGAGAGAATTGAGCTAGCCCATCTCTAAGAGCCTTCAACTCTACAATTCCCGTGCAATGACAGTTTTGTGTTTTCATTCATACACAGAACACATCATTTTCCCCCAAACCATCCTTCTTCCCCAAGGCTGCCTTTATTTCTTCCCCAAAATGGCATCCTCATCCTAAGAGTCATCCAGGTAGAAATTTCACATTCAATTTTGACCCTTTTGTCTCCTTCGCTCCCTACATTTAATCAAGTGCCAAGCTACTTTTTCAGTAAAACGAGAGAAAAATAAAGGTGGTGTGATAGGCTCGCTAGATACATGGATACACATACACTCACACATGTGTACGTGTAGACACACAGACATTTGTCACTGGGGTTACTGTCCTTTTCGGCAAGGGCTGCTCTCCAGGATTACCTCCCTCTTACTCTTTTTTGGTATTAAAACATGAGAAAAGGTGCTGGTAGATGACATTTTTAGTGTCTCTGTAGCAGCAAAGACTGCAGCCCCAACACCCATGCCTTCACCCACTCCCTAGGTTCCAGCTCTCCGAGCCAGTTGCTTAAAGGTCCTGAACAGCCTAATAGCTTTTACCTTTGGCCTCTTCTCCTTTCAATCAACACTGTATTTATCATCTGTCTTCCTCTTCTAGAATTCAAGCACCAGAGAACAGAGTTTTACCTGTTAAATCCCAGTGCCTAGAACACCACCCCGTTACACAGAAGGCATTCAGGACAGAACTGTTGAGTAAAGAACTTTATAGACTGGTTCCTGAAGCTGAACTCTGATCTACTGCCAAATCACACCTCTGTGACCTCAGGCAAATTACTTGGCTTCTCTGAACCTCTCTCCTCTATGTAACAGTCGGGCTTCAGATCTGCCTCACAGGACGCCACATGGAGGAAATTCAAACTTAGCCCTCACCTTCAGAGAATGTTTATGGTAACTGAG